AGCATAATGTCCTCCAGGGTCACCCATTTTGAATAATATTGCATGAGTTCCTTGTTTTTCAATGCAGCATAGTATTCCATTGTGTGAATATACCACAACTTCTGTATCCATTCATTTGTTGATGGACACTGAGGTAGTTTCCAACTCCTTGCTATTGTGAACAAACCAGTGATAAACATGGGTGTGCATGTATCTGCTTGGGTTCAAGTTATAGTCTCTTTGAGGTATTCCCAGTAGTGGAATTGCTGGGTCAAATGGTATCTCTATTTGCAACATTTTGAGAAAGTGCCACACAGCCTTCCACAGTGGTTGCACCATTTTACACTCCCACCAACAGTGAATAAAGGTCCCAGTTTCTCCACAACCTCGCCAGCACTTACTGCTTGCTGTTCTGTTAAATTTTGTAATTCTGACTGGGGTGAGATGATATCTCATAGTTGTGTTGATTTGCAGCTCTCTTAGAGCTAGGGATTTTGAACATTTCTTCATGTGCTTGTTGGCCATCTGAATTTCTTCTTCGGTGAAGTGTCTATTCATATCCTGTGCCCATTTTTCTATTGGATTATTTACCTTTATCTTGTTGTGGTGCTCAAGTATTTTATAAATTCTGGATATAAGTCCCTTATCTGATATGTCATTACCAAATACTTTTTCCCAGTCAGTGGCTTCCCTTTTTACCCTGTTGGAGAAGTTTTTGGATGTGCATAGGGATTTGATTCTTAGAAGAACCCATTCATCTATTTTATCTTCTCCTGGTTGTAGATTCTTGAAGATATTTTAAAATTTGGAACGATCATTGAAATGTGGAAAGATACTGTATTAACTATGTGTAGCAACTGTAAGGAGAGGAAACTTGGGGGTACTGTAAACATGAGGGCATAAAGACATTTGGAGAACTGGGAGTTTGTTGTCATTAGGTGTCATTGAGCTGGTCACTCCTGAAAGCCACCCTGTATACAACACAGTGAAACCCAGCACCTGATTCTGCACGATCCTCGGTCTCCAGTGCTTAAACCCCTGGTTCCGTCACTGTGCCACTCTGTCTTACTGAAGGCCTTCATCTCTTTTACTGACCCTCTGCCTTTCTAAGGATGTTTGTTTCCAAAGACTGGTTCCTCATAATATACCCAAAGTATGCGAGATGAAGTCTCACTTCTCTTACTCTTATGCAGCACTCTAGGAGTGTTTTTTCCAAGGCATATTTGTTTGTTCTTTAGAAGGCCATCATGATAAAGTCAGTAGTCTTGCCAGCATCTTAATCCAAAGGCCAGTTTTCACAAGATTATGAAGCAATTGAAAATACCATGGTTTGCTTCAGGTACATTTTAGTCATCAAAGTTTGTTGGTTTTGTATTAGGATTTTAACATGCCTTTCATTGTTTTCTGGACTGTAATGTTACTATAATACGAATGGTAGCTCTTTCTCCCACAGGATAGATCAAAATCACCAGCCTTTTGACCAGCAGCTGACTGCTTAATGCCATTGGGCTCCTGGTAATAGAGATACTGGGTCTGTGGATAGTGAGGGGCAAGTTTTCCAGGTAGCGAAAGCACATATAAGGGCATAGGTGTGAGAACAAACTGAATCCAAGATTGCAAATAGAACACGAGGACTTTATGGGTGATTAGCAGGAAATAAGGTCAGAAAGACATGTAGTTATAGATACATTTTATAAATAAGACTTTTCTTTTTTTGTCTTGCTAATGAGGAACTAAGCAGTGAGACCATTTTAAGGCATTTTAAGAAGGAAAATTGCTTAAGTCTGTTTTCTGTCTTAGTAGTCTGTGTCACATACAGGAAGCAAGTCAGACTCTTGAAAAGAACCCAGTAATGAGCTACACTGTCCTGATGTGGTTGGCACTAACCACATAAAATTGTCTAAGATAATTGAATAAAAAGTTCAGTTACATCTCTGATGTATAAGAACACACTAATACAGTCTGTGTCAATCTTTGCTGATGGTCTTCCTCTTTTTTGCTGACCGCCTTTCCCAGTGTGAGGTTTTTTTTCAAGGACTAGTCCCTCCTGCCAACATGCCCAAAGTATGTGAGATGAATTTTAACCCTCCCTGCCTCTAAGGAGCACCCTAGCTCATGGCAACTATATTGAACAGAGGGAATGCATAGCCTTTCCATCATCTCCGAAAACTGTTATTAGCACTGCTGTACAGACTGCCTAAGTATGTCAGGCTGTGACATAGCATCTTTTAGAAAGTTATATAACATCTCTCAGCCCCAAGTCAGGAGTAACAAACCTTCTTCATTATGTAATAAATATTTAGTAAGATAATTGGCTGTAGAGTACTGAATTGAATTGACTTGCCCCAGAGTAACACTAAAGAACTTGAATTGTTTATATTGTTGTGGTGAATTTAAGATAAATTCTTTTTCTGCATTTTATTAGTATTTATTTTTCTCAGTTTTACTTTGAATGTTGTGTAGAGTCTTGGGTTTTTTCCCCAGCACACAAATATTTAAAAAATATTTAAAAATATTTAAGGCTCCTTAAAGTTGTTGCTTTTGTGGTTAGTTGCTAGGTATATTTAATATAATGTAAAAATGTTAGTCATAAAAAATTTTTAAAAAAATGTTACTCATTACTTAATGATAAACTATTCCATAGAGAGAGAAGAATGTACCTGACTGTGTTGTGGTTTGTTGTTTTTTTTTAATTAGTGCCACACCAAAAATTGTTTCTAAAATAAAGAGTATTGGGGTTGAGAATAAAAACAACCTGTGTACTGTCCCGTTAAACAATCTGGAACCAGTCACTAATGTACAGATCTGGTTTGCCAATGGGAAAAGGATTATCCAGAAATTTAACATTTCTCACAGGTGAGTCTTCTGTTTGAGTATTTACCTGATTTCTTTACATTTAAATTCAAATTCTTGTTTATATATAAATTCTTTTTTAAGTTTCATTTCTTGGTTAGTCAACAGTATTTAATAAACCATCTAAGTATATAATAAACAGTTCTTTAAAAGTCTACATGCACAGGCAATCAATGGCACATAACAACAACAACTTTAAAAGTACTATGAGGACAATGGAATTCCTTGTCATTAATGAGATACTTCAGTCTGTTTTAGTGATAACAATTTTATTTTTTTATTAGTGGAGTTTTTTTATTTTTCTTGTTGTGTACCGTCAAGTCAGATCTGACTGGCACAGAAGGAGATTGCCCCTTCTTCTCCAGCAGAACATCTGGTGGATTTGAACCGTGTGCCATCGGGTTTATATTAGTTTTTATGGTTTGTGTTTTGAAATGTCTATAACCTTGTTCTGTAGAAGGTGTGGAGCAAGGCCTCAAACCATTTCAAAACTTCTTGAAAACAAATTTGAGGGGGAAAAACCAAAAACAAACTGTTCTTGCAAGCACTTGTGGGATTATGCAACACCATTCCAGATTTAAACATACTGGAGGTTTGCAATAGTTTGTGTGTATTAAAACAGATCTATAATTTTTAATCAAAACAGCTATGAGATACTGTCTCACTCCAGCAACATTCAACAGGAAAACAAACAACAAATGCTGGTGAGGTTGTGGAGAAATTGAAACGCTTAGTCACTGCTTAGTCACTGCAGTGTAAAATGGTATAGTCACTATGGAAAGCCATCTGGTGCTTTCTCAAAAACTTGGAAATTTAAAAAAAAAAAAAAAGTTGGAAATAGACATACTATTTGACCTAGCAATTCCACCAGTAGGAATATACCTTAAAGAAATCAGAGTCACGACTCAGATGTATGCACACCCATGTTTATTTTGCTGCGTTATCTACAATAGTTAAGAGATAAAAGCAACTCAAATGCTCAACAACAAATGAATGGACAGAAAAACAACGGTACAATCACATAATAGAATATTATGTAGCATGGAAAAAACAGTGAATTCAAAAAGCATTTACACAACATGGAGGAGTCTGGAGGACATGATTAAGTGAAAAACTCAGTCACTAAAGGACAAATAACTATATAAGAACTCTGTTAAAAATGGGCGACGGGAATTGCAGAGAACGTGGAGAGGAGGGAGAGAAGAAAATGGACAACAAAAAAAAGGAAAAAAAATTATAGATTAAAAAAAGTTAACTGGGGAAGGGGCTGGGAGAAAATGGTTCAACAAATGAATGTTTGAAGATCCAACTTCTCTGTAAGTAATCCAACTTCTTTTGTTAAGATCATAATAAAAATAAAGTTTAAAAAATTAATAGATACATAAGTTTTAAAGTTATTTTTAATGAATTAAGCATACTTTAGCATTTTTGTTATTTGTAGAAAAAGAATGAACATACAGAAGAGTGTTAGAAGAAATTAAATTTCATTTCTACCACTCAAAAATAATCGCTGTTATCAATTTGATGTCTCTTTCTAGTAACTTACCACTTTCTAAGTTAAAAAGCATTTAAGGAAAATGTTAAATAAAAGTATAAATACACATATGTTAAAAATTTTCAAAACTCAATCAGATTTGAAGAGAAAATTTTTTCTGAGCAGTTATTTTATAAAACCAAACACACTACCATTGAATGGATTCCCACTCCCAGCAGTCTTCTAGAACAGAGAACCAGAGGGCAGTTCCAAGGCTGAAAATCTTTATGGAAACTGACTGCTTCATCTTTCTACCTCGGAATAGATAGTGGATTTTAACCACCAGCCAGCCTCTGGTTAGCAGTTGATTACCCTACCAGAGTTCCTTATGAAGAGAAAGAGAAAGAAAATATTCAGATAGTCCTTGAATACAATGTATTTGAGTTATGTTGAACTATTTAGGACCAGCTGTGTGTCTGTATGTGTCTGTGTGTGTGCACATACACTTTATTGTTATTAATATGTTCTAATCATGAAACAACATATGAGCAAGAGCCTATGGTGATGAAAGAAGAAGTTCAGGCT